ACGGCATGCACGACTATGAGTACCCCCCCCCCCCCTCTTCACATTCTACCAACCCCCCTTGCCAAGGTGGCCCACGTGCACGTGCGACACGCCGCTGACATCCCCCTGGTGCGGCGCGTGCTGTCGAGCACCCCTGGGGTGGAGATGGTGATGGACGCCTCGGAGCTCGACGCCTACTACCGAGATCGGGGAAAAAGCGGCGAGGGCGGCAGCGGTAGTGAGGGCGGCGGCGGAGCGGCTGTGGCGGCCATGGCCGGAGAGGGGGGCCGGCGGGCGAGCGGCGGGCGCGGGGCGCACCACCCCGAGCGCAGCGGCGAGCTGGTGGCCGTGTCCGACTCCCGCTCATGGTTCGCGTACTACTACTGGAAGGACGACTCGCAGGCCCCGGACTTCGCGAGGTGCGTGGCCATCCACCGCAAGCCGGGCTACGACCCGGCCGAGATGTTCTACCGGTTCCCGGGTTTCGCCGGCTTCGCGTGGCTCATCCTCAAGCTGCTCCTCTCGTACGGGCTCAAGCTCAGGACCAACGTGGACGCCACCCCGCTCCGGTGCGACAAGATCAGGGGCTCCCACGGCCGGCTCCCCGGGGGGGCCGAAGACCGAGATGACGAGCCGCGGCCGATTATCATGTTTAAGACGAATGGTGCCGGTGTGGGGAGGGCGGGGGCGGTAGGGGTGGACCCCCTTGCCATAGACGACGGGCAGGTGTTGGAGCTTGGCAGGGAGGCGTGTCTAGAGAAGGGGCGCGTGGTGGTTGCAGAGGACGTGTATGAGGTCTTGTGGCGAATCTTGAACCGCGATATTTGAGTCGGCTTTTTGCCGGGCGACACGTTTTTTTTGTTTTTTGCTCCCCTCTGGTCGTACACCCCTCTGGTCGGTTAGTGGCCATCGTTTGGATGGTCCTCTCTGGCCAATTCCTGGCTCTGGTTTTTGTTGTGGCGGCAGAGGGTGGTGACCATCAGTCGGCTGTTGTGCTTGGATATCGGTCGTGCCGCTTTTGTTTGCTCGCGTGACCGACCGAAGTCGACCGCGGATACGTAGCTGGCCTACACCAAGGTACCACTTTTTTGGTTTGGGTGCGCTCGGCTGTGGCGTATTCCTTCGGTGGATGTAGGTGATTCCCCCCCAATGTTGGTGTGAAGTTGACCACATGGCGCCTCGTTTTATCTTGTGGGGACGGAGCGCTGCTGATGCTCAGCTCGGGTGTTGAGTGTCAGCCCTGTCCGTCGGACCCATGCGGTAATTTTACCGCCGCGTGCTCTAGGCCTGGGCGGGGGCGTGCATTGCTGTCAGCCAAGAGTGTTGCCTCGTGTTTGGGCGGTTGTGGCGGTTGGGGGAGAGATGGCGGAAAGGCTTCTTGCTGGTGTTTGTTCTCGGTAAGACCACGCCGAGACGAAGACGCCCTTGAACCGATCTGTGGTTCGTTCCGACATTCTCATTTTTTGGTGCTTTTTCTGTGCCGGTGTTTTTCTATGCGTATGCCGCCGTCGTCTTGCCTAGATAGAAGTAGTTTTTATCTTCAGGCTTCGAGGACACGCTGATGCGTGTGTGCTACTAGTGTACACATGATAGCTGACGAATGATTTTCTTGTACCTTTGTACGAAGTGGTTTTCGGTCTCCGGCCGAGAAGCAGCTTCGCTAGCATTGTCGCCTTTTTAGGTGGAAAGTGCTTCACGCGTTCGTGTCTTGGCGCGGAGTCTTTTTCCGCCCCCGGTCGGCAGGGACAACAACAGGTCAGTCAGTTCCGTTGAATAATTAGTTCGTGTTTCCTTTCCTTTTCCCTTTTCTTCGGGCCGTTGTCGAGGTCATTTCATCATTTTGTTTTTCTTTTTTCTCGCAGGTGGTACTATTAGCTGTATTCTACCAGAAGCCTTTGCTTTATGGAGTATAAGCGCTTTGGGTTTCCAAATGAAATGAACGCCTCAATGATTTTCGCCGTTTTTGGTAATTGCAGAACTCGTTCCTAATTCAGCACAGACTAGGTAGTACGGGCTCTTAGGCGCTTTGTGTCGTACGAAGCCGTGATGGGTCGGTCACTCATTTGCACCCGGGTGAAGGGTTGGAGCGCACGTTCACCAGTTGTTTCGCGGTTAGACAGCGATTCCGAGTTGGTGCACGCACTCATCATGTCGTGTTGCCAGGGCGGAAGTTGGCCGAATCGCCTACTTTTCCTCCCGCGTTTCCAGCGCCTCTATAGTTTGGTCTAAGTTATATTCATACCTATGTAGCAAGCGCCAAAGGAGCGATGCGATGCATGCTTATGTCTCTCGTCGCGGGCTGACTGCTCGGGCATGTTGTTGGCAGTCAACCCCAATCAATCACAGCTTTCCACACACAACTCGCGTCTCGATGGTGACGACGACGGGTGCACCTTCCTTTTGCCTCTCCTTTCTATCGCCGAGGCTTTTTTCCTTCGCGGTCTGTTCCAGTACTGGAACAAGAGATCGAGGGAGGCGTGATCCTTGCTGTGCAACTGGAGTTACACGAGTTCGCACTTCATTTTTTTTAGCTCAAGGTATATCTTACTGAGTATTCCTTTTGAAGGTACATCCTTCAACTTGTCTACGTATACATCTCTCGACGTTCTTGCCATTCCCTTGAGGTTCAACCCCAGCACACAACCTTCTCGGCCCAGGGTGACTCTCCTTGCTCTGATCCAGCTACTACTGGAGTGGGAAAACAGATTCCCGTTCTTATCATCGTCTTCTTCACCTATCATACCCGGTACCAAAACAAGAACAAAATAAAAACTCCACGGGGGGTGGGAAATGCCCCCTCCAAGTTACCTACACTACACCAAAAAGACCAAAAAAATAATGTGTATTTGTCTACACACATGAACGCCAAATATAAAATGATGTATACTGCTAGTTGTAATCATGTGAACTTCCTCCTGTGCGACTCCACCAGACGCGTCCAAAACATTCATGCCGATAAGAAAAGACTAGATATGACGTAATGCCGAGATTGGATGAGATTAGACGAGCATCCTGCCGCTGACGCCACCGAGACGGTTGTCTCCAGGTTCGCGTGTGAGCAAGTTCCCTTTGGGATGTGTGGTGTGGATACACACCGCTTCAACCTCTGGTGGAGAGGCTGACGAGGTCGGATAGTTGTGTTGAGTTGAGTTGAGTGAGTGTCAGGTGGGGAGCAACCTTGTGTTGAAGCAAGGTTCAGCATCCAACCTGCACTGACTCTATCTGTGATAACACCCCGAAGGTAGATCTCCGACAGGTCATCTGACGTCACAATCGACGACAGGGTAGTCCTCAGTCTGACGTGGCAATCACGCACTAAAACATAAAAAATACCCTACAGCCTGAGGACAGTTTGATAGATAAGTAAACAAATCAGCAGCACTACATTTATCTTATTTTCGACGAACGAACACACACCGAGCTCACTGCACGAAACGGCCTGCTCTGCATTTCCACGACACGGTTACGTTTGCATCATCACGGTGGCTGCACAGACAGGTCTCCTGTTAACATTCCGAGGTTTGCGACAGCAGCAGCAGCAGTGATACCCCCTTCGCAGCACTTCCTTTTCCGCGTTCTCTACTGTCAACACTGGCTGCAACACATCCCTTCAACTGGCCCAGTGGGGAAATATCTCGAATGGTAAATCTTCCGTGATAAAAAAAAAATCCATCTCAAAGCAAGTTAGTTTACAAGACTACTGTACAAAAGCTGGCGCCCCAACGTAGATGCAGCGACACACATAAACGGAGACAGATTTGTTGTGTTCTCGTCCGAGGCGGTTAAGACACAAAATTGAAGGCAGACAATGGTAATGTAGGGCTGGCGTACGTGACAGCGCGTATAGTGCAGCAGTAGTAGTGCCATGCCCGTGGCATGACGCTCGCTCGCTCATCTCCGCCTATCCTTTTAAATGTGCCGGGGCGGAAAAGCCGAGGCGGGCAAACAGGCGAAAAAACACCAGTCACTGGGTGTGGACGGATCCAATGAAAACGATCGTGCCGCAAGAAGAACGACCGCGACCCCCGACAAGCAGGATGCGATCTTAGAAACACTTCCTTCAGTTGTAATACGAGGCCGTCTGGCTGCTCTCGCCGGTGCCCTGGAGTCCCAGGATTACGGAGATCGCGTACACCCCGGCCCCCGCGCCGTTCGAGCCTAGTGTCTTCTTGGAGACGTTGAATATCCACCACCCGGCGTTGCGGATCCGCCTCCGCTGCGTCCTGCTGCCGGAGTAGGCCCCGTACAGGGCGACGAGGACCGCGAAAACCATGAAGACCGCCGCCGTTGTGTCGACCGCGAAGAAGATGAGCGCCACGATGAGGAGCAAGAACATGAGGCCCTTGTACGACTTGCGCTTGAACAGCGGCGGCGGCGGAGAGGAGTTGTCGAACCTCGAGGCATCCAGAGCGCTGGAGTTGGGGGTGGGTGAAGTAGGGCGATGTGGGGGGGGGGCATGGGGGGCATGCGTATGGGGTTAGAAAGAGGTACATTCTCCCGTGGTGAACTCCATCACGCAGATACTAAAAGCGAACGCATAGTTGTTGAAGTGGTGGGAACAATGGCATGGTTAGATCCATGCACGTGCATCATGATTTCAGCGTCGTTGTGACAACCCCCCCCCTTCCCTAGAATTGCGTACGTATGCCGTGGTTTGTCTCACGTGGGAAGGCTCTTGGACTTCGTCCAGTCGGTCATCCTGACGGTGATATTGGCCTCGATAGAGCGGGCCATCTCGTACAGCTGAGAGGCGGGGACCGACGGATGAGCCATGGCCCTGGTCTCTAGCACGGAATGGGATGCGCAGTCCACGTAGCTATTCCCGCGATTTGCAGCGACGCGGGTAATCATCGCACGGGTGCGCGTGGCGTTGTCGACAAGGAGGGAAGGGACGTGGCAGAGGATCGGGGGGTGGTTTTGATGACGTGGTCGACAAAACTAAGACAGACGAAGAGAGACTTTTGTTCCGCGAGAGCGTGGATCGTTCCTGGAAAGAAACGAAGGCTTGCGGGATTTCCGTGACCCAATTTTCTGTTGCGCTAAGTATTTCAAGCGGAAAGTGTTGGAAATTGGAAACACGACGTGCTCCTTTGACCCAAGTCTGTCATCGCAATTACTAAGTCAAGCGCCTGACGACCCCCCCCCTACCAACAGTCCCACCATTACCCCGCTTTTCCGCGGAAACCACCGAGTCCACATTATACGTTAGCTCTTACCGAATGACCAAGGCGTGGCGCATGAAGCGCGTCTTGTCCCAGCGGCTCATGCAGTCACCCGGGTCATGGTCTCCGAGCGTCTGCGTGACGCCGTCAATGTCCTTCTCGGAGTACATGCTTCCCCCCGTCGGGCAGCAAAGGAACTCCACTAATAACACCAGGTAGGGAGCGGCATACGAGGTCGGGTCATGAGGTCAGCGGACACACGACGAGAAATCACTGCAGAGACTTGTTCACATCATCCCCTTCAATTGCTGCTGTGGTATTATCTCGAACGTTAGGCTTTCTGTGACTGTATCTAGGCGATTTTCTCAAAAAGCGAAAAAAAATTTTTATGAAGATAAGCAAGAAAGAGCAACGAGATAGAGCTCCACAACATGCCCGCAGCTGCGTGGGTGGAGCGGTTGGGTCTGGATTGATGAACGGGCGCCGGCGTGGCCCTTTTGTACACAACAAAGAGTTGAGCGTACGAAAGTCTGTTCCAACCTTTCATCCCCCAACTTCTGCACCACACCAGTTTGGCGAGTATCATCGAATTCCTACGCACATCTGATAATCAATTCGGTGGGCTACGCAGCGCACGGGCTACGTTTCGAGAGAGGATGATTTACGAGTTATCTTGGTTTCTGTTAGATGTCAAATATCGTCCTTCACTTGGAGAACAAGGGTGTCACATACTGAAGGTGCACATAAAATAAGCCCATGCTTATCAACAGGGCAGAGAATATCAACCACCACAATTAACCCTTGCGAGAGAGAACCCCGCTTGCTGGGGCCAGTGGCTGCAAGTCTTGGGGGCTACCTGGTCCCCGCTCTCTTCAGTGACACTCGCTTTCGTAGACCTTGTCCCTGCCAATCTCACGAAATAATAACGTCTGCTCACAGATGTCGTTGAAGGTGCAGGTGGAGGTCTGGTAGGAAGTGGAGAGCTCCTGGTGCACGAAGACCTGGAGCACCTGCTCGACGCGGGGGGATGACACGACAACCAGACAGCCACGCACCGTCACACCGACGGCATCGGCCAGCAGCGGCCACGGCAAAAAGTGTGTGTGTGTGGGGGGGTGTACTCATAGTCGCATCCCGTAGTCGTTAAACCATTGACCTCGCATCCCTACAAAGCCGGGACGGAGCACGCCGGGTTCTCACCGGACCAGGTTCTCACATCACCAAGCGCGAAGCGCCGTGAGGTATTCGACGAGTCGCATGAAGGGTGCGCTGCATCCTGCTAAGGGTTTCGGCATCTTGTGCTTATTTTCTTGCATACGGATGACAGCTGCATATGACTTAATCTATTTTCTGGTGCTCCACTTCCAGAGAAAGTTGTAACCACTGTGTAACTGCCTCGAGGGTGCTTGACCATTTTAACACAACGTGGTGCGATCATCCCCCTTGCGCGGAGTGAGGGTTATCCACCGCGCACAACATGATCTACTCGACCACCATTATGGTTACCGCCAAAAAAAAAACAGAGGTGAAAAAAAAAAACCAGCTCGGCAGTGAATTGGCTTGTTTTACAACGTCGTTGCCAAGCGACGAAAACACGA